ATCTTAGATTAATTCATTTTAACATCTTATCTCATCTAATACTAATAGATTATAAATATTCAATTATACTGACCTAATAAATTATTAATATCTAAACATTCTATTATTACAGCAATAGACCACCACCACCATCTCCAGCCCATTCCTCCTCCTCCTCCTTCACAACCGCCCTCACCACCACCACCAACAACAACAACAAAAACAACAACAAAAATTATTATTTTTAATGATATTTTTAGAATTTTTCTCGACAGTTAGTTTTTTTTCTCTTGAAGAGAATAATAATAATAATAATAAAACATATATAAGTAGTATATTAAAATTGACCTAATTATGGGAATAATGAATTAAATAGGGAAGGCGAGGAGGAGGAGGAGGAGGAGAAGGAGGGGGACGTCAAATTAATTGATTTTTTCTGTGTTTTTTTTTACATTTTTTTTCTTTTTTAATTTGTTTGTTGTTGTTAATGTAATATCTCATAACAACTAATGAAAATAAAATAAAAGAAAAAAAAAGGTTAATTAAAATAAAATTTTAATAAAAATTGATATTCATTGATTAAAAATAAATCAACAGGAAATTATTATTTTGACCTTAGTTTCTATGGTAGTTATTAGAATTCAATGAAGCTTATCTCTAATCTTAAATGTATTCAATAATTTGTGTGAGGTTATACCAATAATTGATATTGATATATAGTTACTATGAAGTTATTTTAGTCATTTATAATGTATGATAGAAATATTGAAATGTTTCAAGTAATTCATTGATTCCATTGAATAGTGTAAAGTCGGTCAGTCAGTAACAATATAGAACTAGGTAAATATATGTATGTATTGCTTTAAGTTGCCATACCTTATTGGTAAAACAACAAGATGAACATCAAATTCATAAAAGTAGTTACTTCAATGGCTTATTTTATTTAAACACATAAACATTGGTACAAGAAGGCACCAAATAGATATGCGCCATAGAAATCCTTCGATTTATGTGAGGGTTGGAGTACTTCCAGTGTGCCCAAACCGAAGTAGATAGTTTTCTCTGGGGGGCCGCACTCGGAGCCTTTGACCTAATGGTTCAATCCAAAAGGTAGTGGAGAAACGTTAGGAGATGCAGTCCTATGGTAGCCGATGATCAACAAGTGGTTCATACGCCATTTGTTCCATCAGGATCCTGGAGTCCATGTGCAACATTCGTTTGGAATGAAGTTTTTCCAACTTTCCTAGATGGATTCTCCGTGTCCACCAACCTGGTTAAAGAGTCGGATATTCGCTTTTCGTTCTCTCAATTTTGTAAACAACATCTCAGAAAGCAGTGAGTAGGACTTCCGTGATAGTAGTTGTATACACGTGTCCATGTGAGAGCATTTCGAGAGGGAGAGCAGACTCTTCCTATTCTTGGCCATACCGGGCGTTTGGGGGCTAATGTTAGTAATATATAAAACAAAGATTAAATATAAGAATAAAATACAGAAATTAAGAATTAGTTAGCAAAACGAAAGATATAAAGCGATTTTAATCTCATAGTTTAAGGGAAGACAGAAAGGGCGTACATCGACGCCATTGTGATAAAAGATCATTTTAATCATATTGATTATTTTGTAAACTACCGTTTATTTGCCATTGTAATTCTCTAATTCATATTTTATTCATTATTGTATAATGACTTATCATTTAACTTATTTGAGTATTAACCTTGTTACATATGTTTTTTCTTTATCTCTATGTTTCCTCTATATGAATTTGGATAGTTACCGATGATCTATTTTACATAGAAAAAAGAATTCATACTTATTTTATTTAATGTTTTCAACACATGAATACTGGTACAAAGGGGCATCGAATGCATATGCACCACAAAAGCCACTTGATTTGGGTGTGGGTTACGATACTGCCTTGATGCCCATACCGAACCAAGTGGTTCTCTTGAGGAGCTACACCTGGAGCCGTCAAGAGATACAGTCAATTGGTAGCTGGTGAACTATAATTTGTCCATACGCCATTTGTTCCTTCAGCATATCGGAGCTCATGTGCACCATCGGTTTGGAATAAAGGTTTTCCAACTCCCCTAAATGAACCCTTAGTACCCGATAAACTGAGTCAGGAATTGGATAACCACTTTTAGTTCTCTTAATTTTGTAAGCGACACTAATGTATCGATAAAGTTGTGAATAGGACTTCCCATGCAGTGACCTTATACACGTGGCTATGTGAGAGAAGTTCGAGAGAGGGAGAGCGAACTCTCTTCACTCTTGGCCGAATTAGAGCATTTGGGGGCATAAAACTTCCCCGCGCCGAGAGTCGAACTTAGGCCGCCTGGGTGAAAGTCAGGAATTAAGTAGTCTGGTACTATTGCTCTGATCTGTTTGATTTATATTCATAGTTTATCTGTTACTCTTTACGCCTGAAACATATACTTTCTTGAAAGTATAGTATAAGGATGAGATTAAAACAACCGCATTGAATTTCTAGTTAATTTCTAGGTAATCACAATACAACTTTTATGAATAGATATTTTATGAAGAAGAAAAAAATAAAATAATTTAACAAGGTGTAAAGAGATTTTACATCACTTATGCATCTATAAAGATCTTCTACAAGTTACGTGTTTTGTCCTTCATGGGATTCATCAGATGCATGTCAACAAAATCATCTGAAGGTCACGTTATCATTATTAGTTTTAAAGGTCTGGATTTTTAAAATGTCCTATAATACAACCAAGCATTTGTTCAATGCTACTTGGTAATCAATCTACGACTAGCTCAAATTAATCCATATTGAAAGTCATTTTATAGATGTTTCTCTTAAGTTAATACTGAAAAACTAATGAGTTAATATACAGACTAAATGTTAATATTTTATAGAGTAATTTAAGAAGACCTATCATTCGTTTGTATTGGTCGTTTGAATCTTCCCATTGATGTTTAGGATTGAAATTGATCAGTCACTTGTTGACATATCTGTAATCTATGAGTATCTTCTTGATTTTATCATCAATCCACATGCATTTTAAAGGGAGATGGATGATGGCTTTATATAAAACTCATTGTGCTTCCAGGTTTAGCTTCAGTTAACTCATGATCCCAACTATTGAAATTGCTACAACCTCCATAAAATCCCCTTTGACATTAATCAACATATGCTCACTAGTGATTGGCTTCAAGAGGGATAGCTTGGAGTTCTAGTGAGAAGAAGTGACAGGTGGAGTTCAGCCAGATCTGTTGTGAGGCGGTAACGCACTAAAAATAATGATGGATGGTGGTGTGATTTCGTGGATTGGTTAAATTTAGACATTAATGCCGTTAGATGCCGGCCCAGTGGTCTAGTGGTTAAACGCATGCGCGCGAGACCGATATGTCCTGGATTCGAATCTTAAAAGGCGGGGCCGTGGAAGTGCACTGCTGAGGAGTCCCACAATCAGACGAAATAGCCAGCTAGTGTTTCCAGGTTTTCCATGGTTGCCTGATTCCAAATGATTCATGATCTCAACTATTAAAATTGCTATAATCTCCACAAAACACCTGATATTAATATCTATTTGCATAGATCATTATTTTGATCCTGATTATATTTAGAATGCAACATTCAATGGAATCCAAAAGATAAGTTTCGTCCCGTTTTTTTATTTGAAACCCGGAGTTGATATGACTGAAAACAAGTTAAAATCGTTTCAAGCATTAATGCATTATTCACTGAGTTACTGAATTTAGGTAGCTACTAAAATATTCAACATGTTAGATATCTATGACTGCAACTGGAGCGACGAAAACCAGGTTTGATTCTCAAGGTGAACATTAACACTCAGATACAAACGTATTCAATCAAAGATTCCTAAGAAAGTCGTCTTTTCTACCTTCAATTCCTACATAATGTGAACTCCTAACTCCAAGACTTCTTCAAGGAAATGCACTCAGGATGCGCATATACTAATACAGACCAGTCAATTTAGGTCCTTTACATTAACAACGGAAAAACATCAATTCACACATGTGATTAGTTCAATTTGTTCATCATAAATACCTTATTAAGTGAAATAAACTAATCTATCTCATTTAACTAACCTTAACACAATATAATATTGATTACTACTTAGTAACTGATAAATGATCCTGGTGATTGACAGATTATATCCGCAAATAATCTTATGGTGAGACTATAATTTATGGACGAGGGTTTTTTTTTGAATATTATTATAATTTCAATAGTTGAGATCATGGGTCAATTGAAGCTAGACCACCATGGAAAACCAAGAGATAGTAACTCACTGATGACAATGGTGGACGATGACTCAATTTCATGGATTAGTTGAAGTTAGACATTAACATTTTTGGATATCATCTCAATGGTCTAGTGGTTAAATGTTCTCGCGCAAAACTGATAAATCCTGTGTACAAATCTCGCGGTACGGGATCATGGATGCGCACTGCTAAGGATTCCCACAATAAGACGAAACGATCATCTAGTGCTTCGAGGTTTTCCATAGTGATCTAGTTTCAATGGATTCATGATCTCAATTATCGAAATTACTATAATGTATAAGATGACTATTATGATTTCAGTAATATATAAATATATTTCATTATTTATCAACTACATTCTTTTTTCAATTATTGAATAATAAATAACGTACAATTACATCATTCAATTTACACACATATATCCATGTTTATACACAGGAACTAATCACATACACATATATAATGTACAAGTTGGCATGGAATAATAAATCCTGATTGGTTTCAGTAAACTCATAAAGAAACATATAAAGTGGAAGTTTTGTTTTTCTTCAAAACTATGAATATAATCTGTACAAAGTGATATATATGCTCCATTTACGTGACGGTAGTGAAGATTTGTAGCTTAGATGGATGATTTTGATGGAGTTTTGTTATTTGAGCTGAATAGTTTGGTTATGGAACTTTCATCGTCCTTCTGAACGACATCATGAGCACAAATGTCTATCTGAAATTTGTGTTCATTATGTTTATGAACATTAATTAATTAATTAGTCATAGAATCACCATCATCATCTGTATATTTAATATGTAATTGATTAGGACCAATATGAAAACGTGACCATGTTGAAATGTCTATTGATTTTTGACGATTTTTATATTTACGTTTAGCATTTAACCAACAAAATATACCTAAACAAATCATTAGTGCATAATATAAAAATGTTAATATAAGTGCCCATATCTCTACAGATGATATTGCATAAGACGATGACGGTGATGACGATGACGGTGATGATGATGATGATGGTGATGAATGGATAACATTGTCAATATTTAAATCGACTGTATTCAATTCAATTTGATTTTGATTAATGATAAAATCATCTAACATGACATAGATAAATAGATTGATAGATAGATAGATACGTAATTGCACAAAGAAACCTTTCAAGTTATGTAATTATCTTACAAATGATCATCATATTTGTATTAGTTGTTAAGCATGTTTTATCTGCTTGTTTGTTTGTTTATTGTTTATCTAATTAAGGAATAAACATTATAAACGACCATAACATTTACAATTTTATTTATATATATATATATTTATGTTTATATTTTTAAAATTTGAGCCACATTTTAAAAATTGACCAATCATAAATCATAGGCGTGTTATGAGTCTATTCTTAATTAACCAATAATAAAATTCTAATTGTTATAACCTTGATAAATCTAACCAATCAGAATGCGAATTTAAATATAGGCGTGAATTGAATTAATTTATTTTATTGATTTAAGGTGAAATGATAAATTTTTTTTAATGATTTTAATGAATAATATTGGTAAAAATAAAAATGATTTTTATTTCCGTTTTTCAAAATCTGTAAAATAAACTGAAATGAGTTTTAATGAGCAGTTGTAACCAGTGAAGCTAATCCTTGTCAGATAGAGATAGTTATCTACTTCAGTACAATGTAAAATGGTTGCGTAATTTCATAGATTAGTTGAGGTTAGACATTCATATCGTTGGATGTCGGCTCAGTGGTCTAGACGTTAACCGGTCTCATATGAGAGCAATAGGTCGTAGGTTCGAGTTTCTCGAGTCGGGATCTTGAGTACGCACTATTGAGGAGTTTCACAATGGGATGGAACGACCGTCGAGTGCTTCCAGGTTTTCCATGGTGATCTAGCTTTAAATGATTCATGATCTCAACTGTTGAAATTGCTACAATCTCCACAAAACCCCTTCTGATATTAATCAACATATGCTCACTAGTGACTGGCTTCAAGAAAGATATCCTGGAGTTCTAGTAAAAAGCAGTGACCAGTGGAGTTCAACCGTGTTTATCGTGAGATGGCAACTCATTGATGACAATGGTAGATCTGTCGCTCAATTTCGTGGATTTGTTGAAGTTAGACATTAACACCGTTGGATTCCGGCAGGCTCGGTGGTTTAGAGGTTGAGTGTTTGTTCGCGAGACCAAAAGGTCCCGGGTCCGAAGTCGGCGAGTCGGGGTCATAGGTGCGCACTGCTGAGGAGTCCTACAATAGGATGTAATGACTATCTAGTGCTTCCAGGTTTTCAATGGTCGTTTAACATCAATCGGTTTATGATCTTAATCAAAACATTTCGTAAACATTTGTACATATTCTGTCAAATATAGTTAACTATAGAAAACCTGAAAGTGTAGTAAACAAAGAACGCAAGTGGGGACAATTGATATTACTTGGTTGTATTTGAAATGACTATTGTAAGTTGTACATGACTAATGATACCTAGATAAAGAATATGGAGAGTTACTACCTGGTCAATGATGACAGCACCCTAAGTTTTTACGTAAATTCTAACCAGACAGCCCACTTTAAATAAAACTACAAAGCAGAAATTAACTTAATCGACTGGTTTACATATTTAACTTTCATTAATATGTAATGCCACTCAGCTAACTTCCAATGTACTTAATAGGTAACTGGACCAGAGTAAACATGGTTAGAATTCACTGCTCATGACTTCTCATTAGAACGTAGTGATTAGTGAGCACGTGATTAATGACTGTACAGAGTTTAGAAGTGATTAAACGTTTGTATGCTAGACTGAAGATCTTGGGTTCAACTCGTTGTGGGGTTGTACACTTATACTACTAAGAATTCTGCAATAAGACAAAATAGCTATCTAGCGATCCTTAGGTGTTGATGCTTGTTTGACTAAGAGTAGTTCATTATTATTGACTATGATGATCGAACATTTACTAAACGTAGCAGTCAGACTCCTTAAATTTGTAATTTTATTGGTCAAGCTACTGATTGATAATAAGTAGTGTAAGAAACTGTTGTTAACTGATGATGTAGACATGTGATGAAGTTGGGAACTAGCATAGAGGTTAATCACTATGTGGGTGTGGTCACTGTTAATGAATCACATAATAGGGTGAGAAATCTATCCAGTTCGTTCAAGTTTTCATTAGTACTCCAAATAATCGATTTGTAACGAATACAGTTTACAATTTATGGATTCATTCATAAGAGTTTACGTTTTCCCGTTGATGACATTTAACACAAGAGGTAAGTGTACATTCTATAATCCCGTCTGCTTATAAAGTGAACGACAATGTAATAGGGATAACCAACTTATTGTCCATTCCGAAATAGAATAGTGCTATGGTAAAACATGAAACTTACTTACGCCTGTTACTCCACGTGGAGGAGCATAGGCCGCCCACTAGCATTCTCCATCCAACACTGTCCTGGGCAATCCTTTCCAACTCTTTCCAGTTCTTATTCATCCTTTTTATATTTGCTTCTATTTCCCGACTTAATGTGTTCTTTGGCTTTCCTGTTTTCCACTTCCCTTCAGATTTCCAAGTCAGGGCTTTCCTCGTGATGAAGTTTGATGATTTCCGTAATGTATATTCTATCTATTTCCATCGTCTTTTCCTAATTTCCTCTGCACCTGGAAACTGGTTTATCCTCTCTCACAGATGATAGTTGCTGATGGTATCCGAACAATTGATGTTGAGTATATTGAGTAGGCAACTAAAATCAATACTTGTACCTACTTGATAATGGTTGTAGTAGTTCTCCAAGTTTCAGCTCTGTACAGTAGAACTGTCTTGACGTTCGTATTGAAAATTGTGACTTTGATATTGACTGAAATCTGTTTTGAGTTCAATATGTCCTTCAATTGTAGGAATGTGACCCTTGTTTTGCCAATCTTCACCTTTACGTCTGCAGCTGAACCTCCTTGTTCATTGATAATGCTTTCAAACCATGCACTAAATTAATCATTTATACATCTTCTTTGAGTTGTCTCTCACAAAATTTATCTATCCTTCATCCCTATTGTTACTTTGATTATTTTCAGTTTTCTTCTCTTCACTTCAATCTTCTTAATCTTCTACTCACAGGTATTTCATTTCCGATTGATTCTATATACTACTTATATCTGTCAACATAAGTAGCATACACCACACCTAGAGTGAACGATCAATTTGGGTTGTTTTTTGTTTTCTATAAGTGATAACTGAGTATATGTGTTTATTGTTAGTGACTTGCATCATGTTTCAATAAAATGATTTATTCTAAATTTTCAATATATTATACTTATTTCTATTTAGGTTTAAAGTAAGTTTTTGTTGCTAAGTGCCTACCTTTCTTCAGTAATATAAACTGTAGTGTCAATCAGTCGATATTTATTATAGTAACAATAAATAAACAGTATTCTATAGTTTGTTTTAAAGAGAAGTTGTATAGTTAATATATAGTCGGTAATTTATAAATTATAATGTGAATCATTTACTTACGCCTGTTACTCCCAATAGAGGAGCATAGGTCACCGACCAGCATTCTCCAACCCACTCTGTCCTGGATCTTCATTTCTAGTTCTATACAACTTTTGTTCACTCTCCTCATGTCCGTCTTCATTGCTCAAAAATAATGTGTTCTTTGGTCTTCCTATTATCCTTTAGCAGTGAGGATTCCAACTGATGAGTGCTTGCCTTGTGACGCCATTGGGTGCTTTCCTCAATGTGAGTCTTATCCACTTCCAGTACTTCTTCCTGATTTCTTCCTCCGTTGCGATCTAGTTTGTTCTCTTCCACAGTAGATTGTTGCTGATAATGTACGACCAACGGACCCGACGTATTTTGCTTAGACAACTGTTAATCAACACATATTTTCTAAATGATGGTTTTCATAGTTCTCCAACTTTCCGCCTCACACAGTAGAAATATCTTGATATTTGTATTGAAAATTCTGACTTTGGTACTTGAATAAATATACGACCATAGCGAACAAGCAATAAGAAAAATACAATTATGCCCAAATTAGAGCATAAGGGTAGAGAATATGACGGTAATTTATGCACTAAACGACAACTTATAATTTATATAATAAAGAAGGCTTAAAACTGAATGTTGGTACTTTACAGACTTTAAATAAAGCAAGACAATATTTCAAGAAGTATCTTAAATGATTTATTATTGCTTCTTTATTGCTCAGTTCACATGGGAAAGATACAGGTTTATATGAGTTGCCAACTGTAATACACTAGGTTAAGGCTTGACTATACCATTACGGTTGAAGATAATCTCTCCAATGTCAAACTTATACTTGCAATTGTAACTAATACTTATTAACTGGAATGTTGTCGGTATACTAATGCTTTATAACTATTGTAATTAGTCTAGCTATTTATAATTTGCTATATACAAATGAAGAATAATTGAATAGTAACGGCTAAGGATTATTTATGGACTATTACTACATAAGGTTCTATTGGATAACTATTATGTAACTATATAATATATGTATATTCATAATCCTCTTATTATAAGCTTTCATTTAATTTATTGGCTACTATTATACAACTTACTATTCTTAATTCATCCTCAATCGATTAATTACAGTCCCTTACACCTACAGTCACGTTTTGGTTTAATCTTGTATCATTGTTGTTTTTCATTTTATGGTGTGATGTGGTCTTGTCTACTTGTAGATGAGTCAAATATGCCTGAAACATACGATTTACACAGGAGAGACTGATAATTGTGTTCTGAACTAAATGGATTTGGTTAGGGGAGGAGTTATTACATGAAGGATCAATAAGTACTCAGAGTTAACTTAAAGTTACTAATCCTGGTCGATATATTATTTGTTTAGCATAGCGACAAGATCACAGAAGTCAGTATTCTATCACGTGACATGCCATAGGATATTGTATAATTATTAAGAAATTGAGAGTATTATCAATCTAGTGGTCAGAGATATTTGTTGTACTGTGTAATTTTACATATTCTGTCAATTATTTACTAAGCTTCTTCATACAGTTTACGTGGATAGGTTAATAAACATAGGAACAAAAGTCAGACTGATCGGAGACACAAACAAAACAACGAA